AAAAAAAAAAAAAAAAAAAATGAATACATAATACAAGTTAAAGAACAACAACAAAAAAAAATTCTTATCAAATCAAGTTGCAGACTGATCTGAAAAAGTTTGAGTCAATGGCAAATTTTTAAATGAACAAAAAATTTATTTATTTAACAAGATGCTTTGTAGTACTGTTAAAAAATAGCATTAGGCCTAAAGCATCTATCTAAAAACATCTATTTAAAAACATTTGATGCACATACTGAGGTCTTATAGATAGATTCACAAAAAAATACACTATGCCTTAAGTTCATTGTTCCAATTACTAACAATTAGTCTCAATTCCACAATGGAACATAACAGTAGTAATTCACACAGACTCAAAAATGACTTTGAAGAAGGTGTAGATATTGTCAAGTGCACAAGAAATAATTATGTATCATTCCCAAACTTCAGATATTAAAATATATGCAATATCCTCAGTATCACAAATACCATTTTCTTCCACTCAAACTATAAATTATAAAAATAAATTTTACAGGTAACAATTCTGAGAAAAATAATGAAGTTTTAAAATATTTGAGAAATCTGCCTCATTTTAAATTTACTGTGTAATAAATTTTAAAGAAAACAAAATTATAATAAAATATGCTACTGAATACAAACTTTTCATTTTTAATATAAAATGCCACTAATAGTTTATTAGTCTAGCATAATTTTATATTGCTAGGCTAATAAATTTTTTAATTGATATCAATAGAATACTTACTTTGCCTAAAACATCTAAAGGTAGCTTAGAATTCAACATAACCTGTAAATAGAGGATTTTTAGGCTACATAAAATAACACAAAGTTATAAAATATCACTAAAAGGAAAAATAATTAAAGCATTACTGGTTTCACTTTGTCCCCAGGCAATTTTCCAGCAATGGGTCCCATAGAGTAAAACATTTCTTCATACTTCTTTTTTTCAGATGCCTATTATTTAAAAAAAATAATACAAAAAATTATAAAACATTCTAAGTTTTAATTCACAGTAGCTACTATTTATTTCTTTTTTTTTTTTTAAAAAATTGAATCATTCTAACCTTAATATTCCAATCAATAGCTGGAGAATTTCTTCCACTTAATGTTTGCTACAGAAAAAAGAAGCAAGAAGTTTATCCATATTCAAATAACATTTTGTAGGAAAATAATTTAATCTGTTTCATCAGTTGCAAAATAATTTAAATAGATAAAAATTTTTTTAAAGAAGAATAAACTAGAAATGATTTATTTATCCACTCTAAATCATTCAGTCAATTTCCTTGGAAATTTTATTATCTTTGCAATTTTTAAAACAAAATTTCCAAATCTAAAAATACCAATAAGAAAATGAAAAAAAATAAAAAAATTGAAATTTCCTTAACATCTTTGCTGCCGATCTCATGCCAACAAGTGACAGCATGATTGCAACATGCTGGCAGTTATGCCATCATTTTCTATTTACAGTGATAGCAAAACTTATGCTTTTCAATCTCATTCTTGGATTTATAGATTTAATTTAGAATTATTTTCTCTACCACTATATGTAAAACAAAATTAAACCGTTATAAATGCATAATTTTTGGTACCATTGTGTTCCAGCTCTGGCAAAACATAACATATGTATGACTACAATTGATTTTTCTGTAACAAAAATGGAAATTAAACGCAAAGTTTTAAAAAGAGGAGAAAAAAAACTGCTCTATCACTTATTATAGGCACCAAAAATATTTTTTCGAGAGATTTTCTAAATCATTACATCATATAACATACATTGACTTGCATTTGCATGAACTTTATTCTTAACTGAAATCACTTAGAAAACCAAAAGCACATACATAATTAAGAAAGCAAGTTCAACTGTATAACTAAATTTTTGGGATTAATAAAATAAATACTGCATATTGTTCATTCCCTATATCAGGGGTCTGTCCAGACATTTTGTGAA